TGTAGTTGTTACTGGTTTCACCTCCTTGGTGAAGGAATTATTACAAATCTTCCCTCCTCCCCAGTTTCCCCCCTAAAACCCTAAAATGACCACATCCCAGCACTGCCCATTCAGCTCCCATGCGGAGCAAATCAGAGAGCGGGAAGAAACAGAAGACCCAAGAGATGAAGTAGAAAGGATGAACAAGGTGAAAGTATTCGGGTCCCTTTACCGCATGAATAGCTTAGAAAGAGTAAAAGAGTATGCTGGACCCTCAAATAGCCAAGCTAGGACAAGGTGCATGGAGTGGGAGGGGAGCTCTCCTGCAGGAAAGATTCTAAGGTTGTGAATGCTGAAGTAGTGCTGTGTTACAACTTAAGTGTCTTGCAAACACTTTGAGAGACACCAGCAACAATGAGAAAGTCCTTACACACACACACACACACACACACACACATTAGCCCATGATACATGACACAGAGGATGATACATATTTTTGTTACAACTCCTGAAAGTAGAGATGAATGAAACTTTGTTGAAAAACTACTAAAAGTCAGATATCCCTCTCATTTAAACTTCATAACTGCCTTTGAAACAAGTATGTTTACCCCCCTTTAGCATTTTTTTAGATTTATTTATTTATTTGAGGGCTTTGGGGCAGAGGGAAAGAGAGCATCTCAAGCAGATTCCCCGCTGTGCGCAGAGCCCAAAGTCACAGGGCTCCATCTCACGACCCTGAGATCAGGACCTGAGCTGAAATCAAGAGTCAGACACTTAACTGACTGAGCCACCCAGGTGCCCCCATCCCACTTCCAGATATGACAGCTGCCTGAGACTTGGAGAGATTATGTGAATTGCTCACCTTCGTTAAACAAGCAAGTAGTGGAGCCTGAGCTCTCCTGGGTCTGCTGCTAGGAGCTGGGAACCAGAAGCTGCTAATGAATGAGAGAGACATGGCCCAAAATTGTGGCCAAAAGAAGTGGCTCAGGAACTTCCCTGCTGAGTCCCTCTGCACTGGGGGAACCTCTGGATCTGTGCTCCATTGTCAAACTTTGGGCTTTCCTGAGACTCTCTTAGCATGAAAAGCATTGGGATCCCAGCACAGAAGCAGTTGGGTCTATTTGTTCGGTCATAAACTACAGCCCACCGAAGCCCATTTCTTCATCTTCTCATCTGTACTAGTGCTAGAAGCCAGCACACATGGCAGAACTGCATTTTATGGTTTTCTCCAGAGACCTTTTTACTCTTCCTTCTCTCTACTCCTCTAACACTTTCCTTTGTTTCTACCTGCTCCTCCTGGTCCTTTATCTACCAAAATTTCCAGACATTTCCTCCCACTGATCTCAACCTGCTAGAAATATAATCAAGTATTTTCTTTCGCAAAACTTGCTAATGATGAGTTATTTATTGTATTACCTATGACAGGTGTTTGATTCTTATGGCCCTTTCTCACTCTGGCCCCCTGGGTTGTTGCAAAATTTTTACAGCTATAAATAGCTCAGACTAGAAATCTTAATTGCAAGTTGTACTGATCTCATATTGTGTTTATTTTGACAACAGAGACATTACAGCAGAGAAATAAAGAAAAATTTGTTAGCTAGAGGGACACCAACAAAGAATTCTGTTTAGTGTATGATGTCGCAGAGGAAGTGGGCACAATCTTCTTATTTCCTCACTATTTGTAGGTTTCTTCTTCATAGTGAACCAGCAGAGAACTTGCTGGACCTTGCTGACCTTAGAAACGTTCAGTGCAAGTAAACTGAGGCACGGGACCGATAGATGCTTAGTGCAGATGAAACCTTGGGCACCCATACTTTCCATTCTAAGTTAATTTTATGTTCTAGTCTAAGGCAAAGCCAGAAGGTAACAATTTGGCTAACAGTGAAATTTACTCTTTACCCAAAGGCAGGATCAACTATTGATAATACCATGTTCCACTCCTTGGTTCCAGCACAAATCTCTGTCATCACCATCTCCTCTGCTTCCCCTACCTGTTTCTAGCCCACCAGGACAGACTGCCTGGCTAATATTCAGCCATAGGGCTGACAAAATGATTTGGATTACCAGTGAACGCCAGCAAGCATTTCCCACCATCCTTGTAACAAGTCCTAAATTAATAATATTTAAAAGAAGATTTAACACGTATACATGGATACTGACAGAAATATTCTTACGTAGACACACACACACACACACACACACATCATTGTCTTGAATATTAGTGACAGCTTCTTTTTGCAATCACTTAGTGGCACAGCCTGCTAAGGAAGACAGTGGCACCCAGTGGACAAATATTTGATTGTTTGACACAGGTGTTCCATTTTGAAATATTCTCATATCTTAGCCTTAAGAAAGGTCAGTTGCCCCCCTTGCCTTTTCCTATTCTTCTGCCATCACATTTTAAAAATATCTCCTGAATTTAAAAATAGAGGGGGAGGGGAATGTTCTTAAACTTTTTATCTTTTCAAGAATAAGACTAAGCTACAATACTGAAGAAAGCAAAAATTTCAGGATTAACTCCTCTGAGAATAGTGTCTCTATTTGATTAACCTTTTCAACTATAATAGAGACAGCCAAATCTAATAAAGTACTCAATTTAATAAAAAATGTAACATTCAAAAAAAAATGTAACATTCAAAATGCCTATAACGTGCTTTTTTTTTTTTTTTTTAACATATCATACCTTCCTTTTCTACAAACCATTACCAACTTCCAATTAAAATCACTTGGTTAGGCAAATTTGGCAACTCCAAAAGCAATACTTCAGGAAAATAACATATACAGACCCTGCAATTTAGTGCTATTGTGCAATCTATCTAAAGCCATACAGATGGCTGTTTTCACTCACTAACTCTTTCAATGATTCTTTTGGTTGTGAGTTACTTGGGTAAAGAAGCCCTCCTTTTATGTCTTTCTTCTCCAAACACCTAACTAGCATCTTACTCATAATAGGTACAAAAAAGTTGAGTAAAATCCAGTTTCCATTTTACATATTTAATCTGCTAAATAATAAAAAAAAGGGAGTTATTGTTTGATATTACAGATGACATCATCAAGCTAAGAATCTTCAGTATTAGGGGCTAACTGTATTGGATAAAAATATTTCAGGGGCGCCTGGGTGGCTCAGTTGGTTCGACATCTGCCTTTGGCTCATGTCATGATCTCAGGGTCTAGGATCAAGTCCCACATCGGACTCCTTGTTCAGCGGGGAGTCTGCTTCTCCCTCTCCCTCTGCACCCCCAACCCCACTTCTGCTCTTCTCTCTCAAACAACTAAAATCTTTAAAAATACATACTTTATAAAAAACAAAAGAGATGAGTGGTGAATGGGTGAATCAAATTTTACTGGTTTAAATGAGAAATCATGAAAAGACGTTCGATTGCAAAATCTTCTCAGTGCAACTAATCGGGACGGGGGTGCCCTGTTTCTGTTAGCCATTCAAGCTTTCTCCAAGGTTTGTAAGTTCTGGTTCATCAGCATAATCTTTATAATTCATAATTTTGCTATAGTTTGAGACTTGTTTTTGTTTGTTTAGAAGAAAGACCCGTTGGTAAGCCAGGGTTAGGGCATGTGGCTAACAAAGAAATTTTTCCAAATGGGTCTGGGCCTAGGGCAACACCCTTTGTTTCATTGACGTAAGTTTTTTATCAATCATACTTGGTCAGTAAACAATAAACATATCCCAAAGTAAAAAATGCACTTTTTTGGTAAATTGGAAAAAGAAATGGAGGCCATTTGCATGTGTCACCACATTACATGTTAATTATATTTCTTTTTCTTGTAACAGGCACATCTCTCCTACTTTCCCCCCAAAAATTCTTATAAAACTCTTATGCAATCAGATTTTGCTAGACAGACCTTGTTATGAAAAGAAAACTTAAAATTGTTTTTCATAAATTTCTAATAATATACAACAAAAATATACCAATTCATGATAAATCAATAAACGTTTGTAATATTTCTGTCCTTTTTCCTCCACGGTGATCATCAGAAGTGGATCACGAGACTTCAGGCAGTTTTGCCCCCTGGGGCCAAGCCTCCCTGCTCTGGCAGAAGAGCAAGAGTAACATTCAGATTTGCGGTATGCACTGTGCTATTTGCAAAGCACAATACTGGGAAAACAGTCCAGACCCTGGTCTGAGCTTTGCTGATACCCATAGTCAGTGTCTCTGGGAGCAGAGCTCTGCTGTGGACGCAGGTATCCACTAGAGTGTCCAACACTGCCCACTTTCAGGTTGGCCTCCACAGCTCCTGTAGGTTTTAAAAACCCAAGAGGGAAGCCAGTATTTGAAAAAACTTTATTTCCTCAAATAATTTGAGAAAATTTCTCCGGTGTGGTTACTGTTGGTTTTATCTTACCTTTGGGCTTATCTGTGTATAATGTAAATACACTTCACTGATTCAGGAGAGCCACTGGCTAAAAGATGGCTTCCCTACCTCATGGGCTAGACTGAATGGAAATCAAAATAGAAATGTAAAAGGAGTTTTAAAAGCTGGGAAGGTCCATAAAGATTAAAGTATTGTTATATCTAAAATTAAGGAAGTCCTGTGTGTGTGTGTGTGTGTGTGTGTGTGTGTGTGTGTGTATCAATAGGTGGAGAGGTCAAAACACAGATTGATTGATTGATTGATTTACCTTGAGTATAGTTGACACAAAATGTTACATTATTTTCAGATGTATAACATAGTGATTCACCATCTCTACAGGTTGTGCTATGCTCACTGCAAGGGTGGCTACCATCTGTCATCATACTGTACTATTACAGTATCACTAAATTTATTACTTATGCTGTGTTTTTTATTCCCATGATCTATTTGTTCCATAAATAGAAACCTGTAGCTCCCCCTCCCCTTCACCCATTTTGCCCATCCCCTGACCCCCTTTTCCTCTGGGAACTGTCAGTTTGCTCTCTGTATTTATAGATCTGTTTCTGGTTTTTGTAAAACATGTATTTAGACTCACACTTGTTCTACGGAATGCTTGACGAATATATATTTCTAGTCTGAATGACAGGTATTACCTGTTCAGATAAGGATTTAGCCTTTTCTTCTGCTTCCTTCAGGCAAATCTCCAAGGCCTCAAGTTGAGCCAAAGTAAATGCCATCTGTCCAGTTTCCAGGGACTCTTTCTTTAAAACAATAATCAAGTATTACTTTTTGATATGGATAGCTTCCTGAGTGTATCTTCAGCAACTTTATGGATTAAGGACAGGGTTAATAAACTCATACAAATCATCTTTTCTTCAACAGAGTAATAAAACAGTGAAATGTTATAAAAAAACAATAGTCTTAACAGTTTAATGTATAATGGGAGGGTAAAAAATGCATATTAAACTATGACAACGAATGACTTTGGAAAGTGAGACTAAAATTACCCACACTGGAATTTGGTTCATCTGCAGCTTTTTGTTCTTGATACAAACAGAACTTCCCTTCAAGAGGCCAAAACCAGAATTTCACATTCCTAGTGAGAGCTATCACCTAGAATGCCTTTATTTTTTAGCATTCACCTATCCTGAGGACCAGAACCATGTGAACATAGAGAAGGGGGTTTCCTCTGATCATCACTTCCTTATCACAAGTGTCATTAAAGCAAAGAAACCACAGGGTTTAGAATCAGATGATTCTGACCCGGAATATAGCTAAGATGACTGGAATCAGCAAATGTAGAGAGACTTTGCCTCTCCAAGTTTTTCTGCAGTTGATCTTTCTCATCGCCAAGCAGAAGAGTATACATTGGTATGGAAGTATCAGTTACATGCCCTGCTGAGACTAGAGTACTTCCTGACGACTCTGGCTATCTTGACAATTAATTAGTAATTACACAGCAATGTGAAAACTTGAAAAGGGAGACCTCATAGTGCTAAGATTATGACCTTCCTCCAACCTTCTTGGGTGTGTCCTGTACTCTTGGGAATGCTCAGGCTCCTATAGTTGCTTCCAATTAACCCCATAAAAGAAAGAACTGTGTTTATTCTTTTCTTTTCCTTTTTTCTTTTCTCTCCTTTTCTTTTCTTTTTTTTTCTTTTTCTTTCCTTTTTTGTTTTTGTTTTTGTTTTTTGTTTTTGGGCTGCTGCTTTGTTTTCTTCCTTTGGTTTAGGAGCCCACAAATTTAAAATGCATTTTTACACATTTCCTAGTGGTATAGTAGAGCCATCTGGTGGTAAATGGAACCAGCCACAAAGATAAAGCATTCATTCAGGTCCTGTAGTTGTTTGTACAGTACTCTGAACCCTAGGGCCCTGCCATGGGCCTCTGAGAAATTCCATAGGATACAGGGCAAAGAAATGGTGCTACGTTCCAAAACAGCCTGGATCCTAGATCAAACAAGGCTGAATAATCCCCCCAACCCCGTCCCCCACACGGAGCAGACTTTGGGGGATGAACATCTTGGGCTACAACAATATTTGGAATAAATCAATGATCCTCAGCATACCATAATGATTCCAATACATTTCAAAAGTCAGTCCAGAAAAAATAAATCTCAAAAAATGAGCCTCAACACAAAACTCTTGTGTATTTACACCTATAGATAATTCATGCTACAAAACATTTTATGTAGAAAGGGGAAATGTCAAGAGGCCAAACTGTTCCAAAAAGGTTGGGAATTCTGGATCTAGTTGCTATTTCCAGGGAGAAAACTTATTGTCTAATGTTTGCTCTCAAGAGGAAGTTTCTTAAATCTTTTGTGAGTAGATCAAGCAAAATCAACTAGTCTGTTTCTCCAGACCTTTGTCTCCAAACATCCCAAATTTCGCTAGCCAAGAAGGACAATCATTTTCAGTAAGAGAGAAGCATTGTAAGCCAAACAGACTTGCCTGAAGAGTGCTAGTAAATACCGTAAGATTTTTTATACACGTGGTTTTAAGAAATTACCCTGTGTTGTGGAATGGGAGAGTCTGAGCAAACTGAAGAATGGGGTCTATCTTGGACACCTGTGCTCCAGCTGTAAGCTATCACTCTCTACTCTCTGACTGGCCTTCCTATTCTCGCACTCCCTTAAGGGAAAGAGCCATAAAAAGCCATATATCTACACAGATATAATAGGCAAGCACTCTTTTTTTTTTTTAAGATTTTTATTTATTTATTTGACAGACAAAGATCACAAGTAGGCAGAGAGAGAGGAGGAAGCAGGCTCCCTGCTGAGCAGAGAGCCTGATGCAGGGCTCTATCCCAGGACCCTGGGATCATGACCTGAGCTGAAGGCAGAGGCTTAACCCACTGAGCCACCCAGGTGCCCCAGGCAAGCACTCTTTAATAGGAAGCAGCTCCCATTTACCAAACAAAGGAATAAAAATGAAACCAAGAATAGTTTCAGAAATAAGGCATACATGGGGTTCGAAGTTTTAGAGGTAGGTGTGTTGTTTCAAGGACCCTAAAGAAGTTAGGTGTAGTTAGTCACTGTCCTAGTTTTGCAGGATGGAAAGCCAGAAGAGCAGAATATGGGACTTCTACCATCAAGTTCCTTCTGCCTCAAGTACATGTGGACAGACCCCCACATAAAGCCACTTATGTTTATTATGAATATAAAACTGTTTTGGTAGTTAACGTAACTGGTGAGTGAATTATACTAATCAAAAGTCTTTTAAATGCTATCACATGTTGAAAATATATGATACACACAAGTGTTTGGGTTTTGATCCTGTCTGTGGATTTTTAGGTAGTAAATTCTAGCAATTCAATGGGAATTCCTGTTTTTAACTAATACTTTTTGTCTTAAAAACGTCTACCTAAATATCAAGCCAATCATCTAAGTACAGGTAACTAAGATAACCAAGATGAGTGAACTCAAAGAATGCTACAAGTTAAGAATTCAAATTAAACTCTTTGCCTCCAATGACGACATGAGAGTCTTATGCATATGTGTTAAAGTTCCTCATTTGAGGATCTGGAGAAAAATTTATTCTTTTTTTTCTAATTTTCATTGTCTTATGATGACCTTGCCCTTCTTCCTCAGCCATACACACTCTTTGTATTCTTTGGGACTGGTTCAAGGTCTCTGAACCAGATCCTCCCCTACCTCTCAATCCATGTGCAACACAGGTAGAAAGGATTCTGCCTGCAGAAGCCAGACTGCACAGCACTGAGCATTAGTAGGATCCCAATAAGTAGCTGTTGATGGATTGAAGGCTCAGCCTTCAAAGACGGTGGTTGCACCAGGGGAGCACTCCGTCCTGCTGAGAGGCTTCTTTGAGCAATCCTTTCCATGTATCCAGCCTAGGATGCTGGCATGGGTAAGAGCCCTAGGGAAATTCTGCTCACCAAAGACCAGGTACAAGCTTAAGTAGCAGAAAGCCAGGAGGTGGCCATGAGTTGGGTGATGATGGCAGGGTTGTTCTGAAGACTGAGTAAGCTAAAGCAGGTAACTACTTAGAAATGCTCAGTTCATGGTATTACTAGTAATTCCATTCCCCCAACTCCTATAAAGAGAATCATTTGATATCAAAACTTCCTAGCTTATTTTTAAACCCTAGTAAAAGAATGTCCCTATAGAGGCACTTGTGTTACAGCAAGTGATCAAACAGCAGCAGTGGGGAATTCAAGCATGCAATTAGAACAAAGTTAATGTGTTAAATATATGTGTGTGCATTTGTTTAAAAATACGATTGCTAAATAAAGGTGTGCTTATTGCCAAGAAAGTCTTCACAGAAGAGAATCTTGACATGGGTCAGTTGAAGACAATTGAATGTTTCCAGCAACCTGGAACTTCAAATGCGGAGGGATCCCCAGCAGCCCCCGCTCAGTGTTGCAGTCACTTCATGCCAGATAAAACATGCTTTCAATACATTTTGCAATGGTCAAGATTCACGCTTGATGTCTCTTCTATGCTTTCCCCCTGCTTGACTGGCACTGAAGTCTATAAACTTATTTACCTTACTATGACTTGCTCATATCTCTCATGCTGATGGAAGTTTTTCCCTAGCCTCCCCCCTCAACCCCTTACTCTGGACGGTTAATGTTATCCCTACCCACCCTGTTTGGTGATCAGAATGCATTTTACTGTGGAAATTTCATCACTGTGGTGTCCTTTTATGCTTAACTTTTGCAACAGTATCTTGGGCTAAATTGCCTGTTTCTCTTTAGGAAACCATTTAAAAACTCAATTTTTTCCTGATTTCAATCCATTCTAATGGAAACAGTATTCCTCTTTGTTGAAATTGCCTAAATAGTCTGCTAATATGATATTTTTTATTCAAAATTGAACACACTGTGACTCTTGTCAAAGTCCAGGGGAAATAATTTTCTAGAAAGTGCCTATCAACATGCTTGTAGAGGAGATCAACATTGGGAGGATGACAGATGAGCATTGACTAAGCATAATACTGCTTGTAATCTGGTAGGCTTCATTCTGGACTGGACTGCATCCCTTGGGCTGTGTGACTTCTGGGTTTCACTTCTTGGGGCCTCAGTTTTTCATCTTTAAATGAGGCATGTATTGGGCACATCTCAGCAGGAAACAGTCACTCCAGTGGAGTGGTTGAGGGGGGTTTAATGAAGGGACTGTATGCAAACCTGTGCACACAGTTAAGGGCAGGAATGAAAGATGGCGGGACACTCCCAAGAAGTGAAGGTAATCTTCGCTTCACCTTGAATTGGAGAGGTAGGGGAAGAGATAATGGCAGAGTATTAATACGGAATCTAGAAAGAGAGCTTGAGGAGAAGGCCATGTCTGTGAGTTGATACCCTGGATAGAGAAATAGAACCACTATGCACCTGTGCTCAGACCTAATGGTGGACAGACCAGTGGAATAAACAGCCTGATCTCCTTTTCTCTCACCATGTGTTCTTTTGTATCTCCCTTGTGCTGAGCCCAAAAAAGCAGAAGGTGAGAGACCTTGAATGACAAGTCTAGAGAGACCAGCTAGCCTGGAAAGGAGCAGAGTAAGGAAAGGGTACAGAATGGACCTGGAAAGGGAAACCAAACCTCTGGCCAAAAGGGTTTAATAATATGAGTGTTTCCCAAATACTAGCCCATAGATCCATATTGGTTTGTGATAACATCTCCAAGCACAGCAAGGAAAAGATGGAAGTAAAAATTTTTTTTAAATATTATGAATTTTTCATGAAACCAAATTTATCCCATTTAGAGAACTGTCCTTTATTCTGAGATTATGATCATTCTATATAT